CTTCATGTTTTGATTTTTTTGTCAAATCGTGACATTCTTTAACCATAAATTGTAAGAAAACTACGGAGTATATTTTATTATAATATAAATTTAATATAATTGAGTTTATCTTAAGATATATTTTTGACAAATCAGATTTTTTAAAAAATATATTTATAAGATTATATTTAATATATGGTCAAAGAGTGTCACTCTTCGACAAACAAAAAGAGTTTTCGATGACGGATGGAGCATGTGTGTATTTGGGTGTGACTATCAAAAATCTCTATCGAATGTTTTATTCCTCAAGACCCTAATGCAATACGGAGTATATTATATTTAATTTCAACATTGGACTAGGCACTGGGCTTTGATACTGCAAATGGTGGATTGGGTTGGATATATTATCAAAATAGTGGGGGCAATTGTCAAATTTAAGAACATCACTGGGGGCAACTATCAAAGTTCTAAAATTTCTTCCTTGTTTTTACATAGGAAGCAAAGATTCACTGGGAGCAACTGCCCCCCTCCCAAACATATAGATCCGCCAGTGCGCACGCGTGATTTAACGTCTCACTAAACATTTCAATTGGAAAGAAGTGGTTAAATACTTAAACTTTTTAGGATTTTTTTATGTAGGCAAGGATATTTTGACATTAGCCCTTAATGTTACATAGAGGAATATGACATGGGGCATCTATGATGTCCTCTTTTAAAAATTGATAGTTTCTATCTACTTCTTAACTCTTCATCTCTAAATCCCCTACTCCCCTCCCTAATCGTTCACTTGTTAATGCTAAATCGACGATTAGGAAGATTAGGGGATAAAGAAATTACCCTCAATAGGAGTAAAACATAGAAAAAGTACCAAAATATGAGATTTATTCATTGCTTCCATGTTTTTATTCTCAAAATATGAATTTGCACTATGGTAATGTAACATTGTATATTGACATTTCACAATACTTTTTGGTAATATATACGTCGTATGTATCATGTTTGATACTGTATATGCATTTAAAATTTCTATTTTGGTATGTTTTCAATGTTTTACTCCTTATTCGGTCTTTTCTCCCAGGGGATAAGAATATCAATTTTATGAACGAGACACCACTCACGACATATTATGACATTAGTAACCAATGTGAAAAGATCTTTGGTGCTATATTGATTTTTTTTAAACACAAATGTTGTTTTATTAACTTTATTTTACACCAAAAGTTATACACATGTAAAATCAGCATTTTTTGTCGTTACATCCGTGTGTATATAATGACAAGTTGATGTACACAAGCATTTAAAGTGTTTATACCTTATTTCACTGGCGGATCTATATGTTTGGGAGGAGGGCAAATTTCACTGGCGGATCTATATGTTTGGGAGGAGGGCAGTTGCCCCCAGTGAATCTTTGCTTCCTATGTAAAAACAAGGAAGAAATTTTAGAACTTTGATAGTTGCCCCCAGTGATGTTCTTAAATTTGACAATTGCCCCCACTATTTTGATAATATATCCAACCCAATCCACCATTTGCAGTATCAAAGCCCAGTGCCTAGTCCAATGTTGAAATTAAATATAATATACTCCGTATTGCATTAGGGTCTTGTGGAATAAAACATTCGATAGAGATTTTTGATAGTCACACCCAAATACACACATGCTCCATCCGTCATCGAAAACTCTTTTTGTTTGTCGAAGAGTGACACTCTTTGACCATATATTAAATATAATCTTATAAATATATTTTTTTAAAAATCTGATTTGTCAAAAATATATCTTAAGATAAACTCAATTATATTAAATTTATATTATANTTTTTAAACAGAAAGACACCAAAACCAACTTCAGGTTCATCTAGCAATAGTAATACGAACAAAGATATAATTGACTGTTTGAAAAATCAAAACTTGTAGGGAATATGTTTGAAATGTAAGTTTGTTTTTCTTTAATTACATATTTTGCTTTTTAATTAATTTTAATTTTTTATTATATACTATCTCCGTTTGTAAAAAGGCTTCCTACTTTGACTTGGAGCTGAGCCAAAATAAGAGACTTCCAATTTTGTTCCTGATGTGATGTGTAAAAGTAAGATGTGATGGATAGATTATTAGAGAAAAAGTATGATGTGATAGGTAGGGTATGAAAAAGTAAGGGTAAAAGTGATTTTTTAATAGAAAATGAAAGTGTTTTGTTGGAAGTGGAAAAAATGAAAGAGGAAGTATTTTTGAGAACGGAGGGAGTATGTGTTTATTCTATATGTGCTAACCAACTATGCCCCCGGTGAAAAAAATTTCTGGATCCGCCACTGCGCGTGCGCCCGCACACACATATTCCATTTCTTACAACAATCTCCTATTTTCACTTTTGACACCCACTACACAATGTGAAGGAAAAATTGGGAAGACATGTCTAATAAATACTCCCTACTTCACTTTGGATGCCAACACCCTAACTAAACAAAATTCAAACTTACCACCTATACTTTTATCTTTTTCTTAAATGTTACACCAAGTTGTGTCTCCACTTGAAAACATTTGTATCTTTCCCTTTCTACCCCTCATTATATATTAACACCTCGGTTCTTTTCTTCCCGTTCTGGTTTTGGTGACGCTAGGGTGCGTTTTCCCCAATCTTCAGTCGCCATCGATCTTCCGTAGCTTAGGATTTTTTTTCTCTATTTTAAAATTTGGGGAATACCAGCATTTTTTTTTTTTGAGAATTTTGTTAACAATGAAGACAATAATCAATCTGTGATGCATTTGGTAAGTGCAAGCACAGATTGTTTTGTGATGCAAGAAAAGAAAAGAAGTGTTGATGTGAAATGAGGGGTATAAAGGGAAGGGCACATATATTCTTGGTTTGGGTGGTACAATTAAAGACAAAAATAAAACAAGTGGTTATTCTGAATTTTTTTTAGTTTGGGTGGTACATCCAAAGTGAGGTGTTTATTAGGCGGTTTTCCCCAATTTCTTCCCCAAAATAAAATTAAAAAAGAGAGAGATGCTTATAAAACCTACCTATTAGCCTTAATCATCTACCATAAGACACTTAGAAAATGATTCCATTTCTTCCAACAATCTCCTATTCTCACCTTGGCATCCACCGGAAAAAACATTAATTGACGACCGTGATTGCATGAGAGTAATGAGAAACTCACTTGGTTTTCTTAAGTCACATAGCATATCTGCACTTGCATTGCTGCTGGCGCGCTCCTTCTTAGCCACTTCAACTTTGTCCCTGTATATATATCTTCTACATTCCTACAGCACGAGGAAAGACCCTTTGTCATTTTTGAATTTTTTTCGGTCCTAAAGGACTCAAATTAAGCAAAATATTGCAAAAAGTAATATACTACTGAACCAAAAGGTACCCCCTACTGAAACATATGTGCTTTTGTTTCACGGCCTTATTTGGGAAGAATCAACTTATTCTATAGATACACCAGCCCGATCATGAAAAGTAGGGGTGGCATTTTGCTTTACAGTTGATTTTTTTGGAATCAGTTCGGTTTGGCATAATTCAGGTTGAGTATCAAACCAAAACCAAATTAAGAGGTCTAGTAAGAGGCCTAAACCATTAAGTGTTGAACCAGTAAGAGGTCTGAACCATTAAGATCTAGTATATTGCTTAACTATTCAGAGGCAAATGTCTGATCAATTCAGATAAGACTCTGTATAATACTTAACCATTCAGAGGCAAATTTCTGAACCATTCAGACATCTGCTCACGAAACAAACAGTCATTAAGAGGCTGAAACAAACAACCCCTAAGTTTCCATTCAGGTAGGTTCATTCGGTTCAATTTGGCTCGGTTTGGTCAAACCACACCAAAATGCAAACCCCTAGTGCAAAGTCAATAAGACAAATAGGTGAGCATTACATCCTAGAAAACATACAAACGATTTCCCAAGCCGAACTTTTAAATGACTTTAACGTTAAATGAAGAAAAAATATTAAACAAGTGAAACTTGTGGAAGAAAATACGAGTATATATTACCTGGAATACACAATTTATGCTTGAGATTTGTTCATCCTTCAAATACCCAGAGCGAAGCAATTCACGAAACAAAAGCACCAATTCAGAGCTCAAATTAGATGCCGAGATGTTCTTGATAATGCTGTGTATGCAAGATTCATCAAACACTGAAGTGATCCATGGAGGAGATTGTTTCATCCTCAGCAATGAAACCGCCACATGAACTGCTGGCTTGTGGTAGACCGTGAAGGATTTTGAGACCAAACAAGGAACAGCCAAAGACATTGCCAGTTCCTCCACGATCAACCGAAACCAACTGTCCCTTTCGATTGCAGGGAACTGCTTCTGCAAGTCTTCCCACCCAATGATCATCGACAGACAAAGGGAGCAATTCATTGAAACTTGAATGTCACTTGAGAAGATCAGGCCTTGTAATATGGCAATCACAGGGAACAAATAATTTTTTTTGAGTTTTAATTCATCTGATGATATTCTGCTAAAAAGCTCCAGAAGATGATAAGAGGCAGCCAGTTTTACTCTAGAGGAACCAAAATGGATCAACTTGCACAAGTCACGACACTTAATGTTTATATAGGGCAGCGGCTGTTTTAAGCTGCTCTCATCAAGAAGATGCTGACAGTCCACAATCCCTGGTAAATTGGCACATGCACTGATTCAACAAATTCAATTAGTTAGGTGATGAAATACAGGCAAGGAGGGAGATTGGTACTTTCATATATGTAAGTTATGCACATGCAAGTAACTTTTGGAGGGTGTTTGGAATGGGTTGTAATATTGCTGTTGAATTGTTGGAAAACGATTTCATGTGCAGTTTGATATTATTTACTTGGGATTTTTTTTTCCTTTTTCCAATTAATCCGTTATTTAATGAAGAAAATATGGTCAGTGAGGATAGTTTTTTAACATAAAAGAAATTATTCTCTCCCTTCAATTATTATTTCCCGAGGAAAATGAGTAATGATTTTAGAACGACGAAAAAGAAAAGTGTGGAGATAATATGTATACACTGTATGTGATATTGTTTTTTCAGAGTCTCAGACATTGGTGGAGGCAAGTGCTAAGTGCTAAATAGGATAGAGAAGACTAGGTCTACGCGAGATATTTAGAGCACAGATTAATTAAGTAGTGAAATGCATTATGTAAGTGTAAACATTAAATTGGAAAGCACTTGCCTTCTAAATGCAAAGAATAATAATGTAAGCACAAAAATTAGAACTTCCCCAACTCTTGTAGCTTCATCATGATCAACTAGAGCAGGTCCCTTAGAACATGCTTCAGTAATTGTGTTGCTGAGCATTGAAACCAAAGAGGTACTCAAGAGTATGCTTTTTGAAGCTTCAACCAGTTTTTGATCTATAGAATGATGTAAAATCAATGAAAAAATTCCAACTATTAAAATAGTTTCCTTGCGCCATCCATCAGCAGCCACCGATAGGGTGAGAAAATCCAACAACTGCAAAATAACATATGCCTTACAAGCTTCCAAAAAACAGACTTACAAATTCAAGGGATTTTTGGATCACAAAAGTTTTACTAAAACGAACTGTTTTTTATGGATTCCAAACGGACCCTTAAACTGTTAGAAACCAGACTATGTTAAATTGGTACAGTGCATGTTATTTACCTTCACTGCTATGCCAACCCATTGATCCTCATCAGAAATTGATCCATGATGTACTGTTTGTAGAATCACAAAAGTTAGTTCTGAAGTGGCCATGAATATCTCTGGACAAGAAGAATATCTAGAGTGATAGTATAACTTATGAATAACAGAAGATATCCCATGCATGCACAGTTGATCTGAAGCAGCTGGTGATGTTTCAGTTACGACTTGTATTGTTCTTAAAACCAGACCAATATCAATCTCTTTATCAACTTCATCTGCCAGCTCTCCTAAAACCATAACAAATAGCATTCCAGCAAAGTTGTCCCCAGATTCTACAAGCTCTGCTACAACACGTACATCTACGCTATCACATCCTTTCAAGCTGTTATATCTACAAAACTTCAGAATCTGGAGAGACAACACTTCGCAAATTCTCTCTTGTTGGAACAACCATTTCAAAGATGTAGAACCGATTTTTGAGGTGAGCAAATCCCAATCATTTTCCGCTAATACATGAAACATGATCCTCTCCGCCTCTTGGCTATAAGCAATTTGGTAGCTCATTTTGGCCAGAGCTCTATATAGCAAGTATAGATTTACCAGCAATTTTAACATCCCCGGAGCAGAAGGTCCATATAAACACTCATTGCTATTGAGTAGAATATATTGCTCTAGAGAAGCCAAGACAAGCTTATCATCAGCAATCCTGAGAAAGATGTGAAATATAAATAAGCAAAGGCAAATGGAGATATAAACCTAAGAAAAAATCAATGTGGTATAAATAAGCAAAAATCAGTCTAATTGGCTTGAATACCTTTTAACTAGTTTGCAACTCTTTTTTGGCAGTTTCTAAGCAAATTTCATGTTTAAAAAAATTGACTTCATTTTATCAAACTGGACAACTATTTATGTGACAAGAGATGTTTCTTTTACGTGACTTTTTTTATACTGAGAGACGCACCTATCATCATTGGAAGAGCTAACATGCAGCAACATCAGCACAGCATATTGACAAGAAGACAGCTCAAGATTTTTGGAGCCTCTCTGACCAAGGAGGAAGAGCAAATCCACTGGGTCAGATGGCAAAAGAGGGGCACTTTCCCTAATACAATTCCCAGAATTTTTGTCCCCGATAAAAGCCTCACACAATGAACCGAACAAAAGATAAACCCTCATTTTCATTTTTTCTGTGGGAAATAATCCTAATGATCCAAATGAAAAACTGAACCAGGAGGATGAGAGCAGAATATTTGCAAACATCTTGGTCTCCATACCATTATCTTGTAGCAGTATTGCATGAAAAGTTTCAAAAACTCCCAACACAATATCCTCCTCCTCAATATCATTAAGGGCCCTCATGAACCAGGGTAATATTTGTGTTTTGCATATATCTACAATCCCCCCTCTTAGTTCCGTGCAAATAGAGCTTGTAAGATTTTCTCCATGACTGTAAGCATATGCCTCTTTCAGCAGGTAAAGGGAGTGCAAGAATTGACTTGGTTCTTTATCATAATGGTTTAAACAAGTTAAAACAGCATTTCTTGGAGCATCTTGAATTGACATGAGAAAACTTGAAGTCCCCTGGGAAGGTGAACATTTCATAAGAGCAACAAGTATTGAGCAAACCAAAGCAAATGCCCCACGACACATTCCAGCATCCCCATCAATATTCTTCTTTAGCATCCTACTCAAGTTAAGGCTTATTTCTTCAATGTGAGATTTGGATACTATCCCTGGCCAGTTTGTTACACAAGTCCATATGAGCTTTAGTGTCTCAGTTTGTACAGGGTGGAAAGGTACATTGCAAACAAGTTGAAGAATGGGAACCAGCGCTGTCAGTCCAGTAGCTAGTCTTTGTACAAATGTCATCTCAGCATTAGATAAGAGATCAAGAACCTGAATGCAACCATTAATCAAATAATCCTTGCATCCTGCAAATTTGTAGAGTATTGCATTGAAAGAGAGAGAGAGAGAGAGAGAGAGAGAGAACAAGATTGAATGCAATCACTACAAGATTGAATGCAATCACTCTATCGAATAAATTTCTGATGCCTCTGATCAAATATGATGCTAGATTTATAAACTTCAACTACTGTTAAGAAATAGCAGCTAAATACAATTCATATAGCCGTTTTGAGCCAATGTTGACACAACACACTAACTATGACATCTAAATATTTCTGGTGTCAACTAACTTGATCATTACAAAATTGATGTTTTTAAAAATCAGTAAATAAACTGACTCAAAACCAAACCTTAACCCCACATATCTTCATGTTGGAGGGTGTCTATTAATGAACAATGTCACAGAATCAATGAAACTCTTTACAAGAAGCACAGACATGCAAGTGCTAAGGGTTGGAGCACCTTTTGTTTGGGATGACTCAACTGACAACCTCAATATTTCAAATGTGTAATCTGCAATATTTTGCTCCACAAACACTTCCATTTCTTTGCTCGAGACTTCTTCCCATGAGAGAAATAGAAGGAGTAAGTCCAGAGTTGCAACTTGAACTTGACTATCTGAAGAAAGCAAGGGGCCTTTGATCGCCTCGGCAAACAGTTGAACTAAAGGAGGTCCCGCCATTGTATCTTGTGATGTTTGCAACATATCTTGAACATCAGAGGAAATGTTTCTCCTTGCATCACTGATGGATATAATCTGAAACAAGCCTTTCTGAGCCAATACTGTCAGAAGTGCTAAAAGTGCAAACATAAAATGGGTTAGTATAAGATAGAGTAAAGTAGCAATTAATATATTGCAGGTGGCCAGATACAAGATGGTGATGTTGCATCGCCACACATGATGAGCGAAAGAAGATGTTTACCTATGCAGTTCATGCACAGATCATCGCTTTCAGCTTTCAGGAGAACTTCCAATGATAATTGGACTAGCTTGGGACAATGAAGGAATAAACTGTCAGTATAGTTATTGTCTTTATTAGATTGCAGTAGAAGAAATATTTTGTACAGGACAAACAGGATCTCTGCTTGAATCTCCTCCCTGCATTAAGGTAAGGAAGCACTCTTGACTGTTCATGTTATACACTTGAGAGTTAAGACTAAAATAGCAGCCACCTCAAAGTATGGATCAAAACCTAGATATATGAAGACCATCAACAAGGTTGAAGATGAGGGCATCTGCATCTTTAATGGACACACAAGCTTCATTTTTCTGAGAATTCAAAAGCACGCCTAAGCAGTGAAGCTGCACAAGTACAAAACATAATTAAATTATGAAGTGCATGCCCATCTTTCAACCAAAATATGCACATCATTTTTCCATACAAGCAGGCCAGTTAAGGTCTCAACAATCAGAGCAAGAGGATCTGGTATCATCATAGCTTCCAAGTATCAGTGTACCACAAGCAGTTGGAAGCTGTATTTAAAATAACTAATCAGTTCAAAGACTCTCATGTTGAGAGTGCATATAGTGGCATACCATTCGCCAAACACAGAGTATAATTTATCAAAGACCTAGACTACTCACTACAGCTCAAACTTTCATGCTCTAATTTAGACTTCAAGTACCAGATTCAGTGATTATGAATTCTTCACGTCTAGACAACTAAAAAGGTACTTCCAATGCCAATTATGTGTATATTTCAATCAAATGAAATTTGAGAATATGAAAATTGAAACATCGTGCCAGGCGAGTTGAATCAAGGTACAAAACCTGAGGTTTTCTGTGCTTAGAGCTAGATTTCGGCCTCTCAAATGTTTTCAAGTAAACCCCGCGAGAGGGGGGTGAAATCCAGGAATAGATCGCTAAAACAAAAAATTACCACGTACAGTGTAGTTCTGGCGCCGACTCCAAGCAAGAGATCCACTGGATAACCTGTCTGAGACTCGAGTCACGAACTCCTGAAACACATCGAAGTTGGCGGCATCACAAATCTGCACGATCAAATCCACCGTCTGTTGAGCGATCGGATCATCGTCGAATGAGGAGAGGACGGCGACGAGAGGCGAGATGAGGAAATGAGAGTGGAAGGTGAAAAACGCCTGGCGGAACTGCGGCTGAGAGATGGCGATGGAGAGCTGGGAGAGTGCGTAGGACACGTGGACGGTAGGCGATCGGGGATTGGAGATAAGGTTCGAGAAGCACAGCAGGCAGATGGATCCGCCTTCCTCCGTCTGGAGGATCAGAGTCGTGCGGTGGCCCTGAGAACATGTACGCGGCGGCTCTGGTGGCGGCGCTGGCTGTGAGTGGTGGCGAGAGCTCGTCGCGTACATCCTGTGCGTCCGCCGGCGGGGAACGAATGAATTGCTTGGCGGGAAACAGGTCGGAGTTAGGACTTAGGAGGAGCTTTTAGGATCAAATCTGAATTTATTTGTTCTCCAATTTCTGTTCTCAACTTGGTTGACACCTGCATTCCTTCCCAGTGGAACAAGAGAATTATGGGGATTACATTTTAATTTCAATCTTTTCAAAATTAATACATTCTCCCTCTAGAATGGATGCCATTATACAAACCCTTTTATACTCTAACTTTACTTCATCTTCAACTCATAACAAAAAGATATTTCATACTTAAAAAATATAAGTATATAACCGTGACGGGTCTTCAACTCATAACAAAAAGATATTTCATACTTAAAAAATATAAGTATATAACCGTGACGGGTCCAGGAAAAAATTCGACTGGGACACCTTTGACGAATGGAGGTAAGAAAAATACAAGGGTCTAGGCAGCGCTCATAAAAAGATCAGGGTCTGGGTAGCGTTCTAAGTTGTTTTTATAAAACCAATGTAAGATGGAGAAAAAAATCTAGTAAATTTAATGCTTTCAAAAAATTAATATAGATAATACCAAATTAAAGAAGAAATAAATTATGGAATACACTAGTTTAATTATCATATCTTTAATATTTCACTTATAGACTCTATTCTAATGATAATTTTTCATTTTTACTTCCAAGCTTCATCCTTTTAATTTTTTGATATTTCCTTTAACCCAATTTTTAACACTACTAGATGGGCTAATGTATGAAATTAACCATTTCACATTATCAAATTTCATTCAAAAAATTTCAATTTCATATTATGATCATTTCACACTAAAAAGAAAAATTATATATAATTAATTAATGAAAACTAAAAACACCATAAAGGAGTATCTTTCATAAAAAAGTTTACTTTTTTGCATTCTTCTAAAAAAAGATTCAATTTTTTATTTTTAGAAAGAAGTTTGTGGTCTTCACAATTTCTCTATCTTCTGTACTATTTTAGTAGTATTTTTAACCACATAATTTTATTTTTTCTAATCTATATGTCAAGTCATTTTTTTGGGACAAAGGGATTAATACACAAACATTATTAAATACTTAGTAAATAAATTAGAAAAAACTTCAAGATAATAGTCCTTCTTCACATATATCTTACTTGGAATTTGGAAGTTGTTTGGAAAAAATGAAAAGTAATGTCAAAGGCTACTTTTAATCGGATTGAGAGATATCAAAAAGTTGGGTTGGGACAATTTACTGGGGGCACACTTCAAAATTGATTGGGGGCACTTCTTTTATTCAATCTAAAATTTTCTTTTTTAATAGCTTATTTTAAAAATTGATTGGGGGCACATGCCCTCATGCCCAAGCTATAGATCCACCCTTGGTATATAATAAAGGAGTAACTCTTGCGAGAATTTTGAGAATCTGACCGATGAATGCATACACAAAGTTCCACTAGGTTTTCTAGTGTATCTATGACATTTCATATGACTTCCTAATTAACTTATAATTTATCTAATACTTAATAAAATTTGTACTTGAAACATATAAAGTCAATTTTTTAAAAAAAGAAAAAGAAAATTTTATTTTATTTATACAATTTCAATTTTATACTTCTAATGAAAGTATATTTTACAGAGTGCATTTTAAATTTGTTTAACCTCGTGTTTTCTATATGATTTTTATTTTAATTTTAGCATTTTGATTTTTTTTAATTTACAATATACTTTGTATTTTAAATATAAGTAGCAATAACATTTTATTGTCTATTATGTAATTTTAAAAATTTATTTGGAACTTTTTAAATTTTAAACTTTAAAAAATGCAATTCTTTGTTCATGAAAATCACTGATTTTTTTAGATAAGTGCTTAGTCGACTATGAATGATAAGGTCTCCCTAGATGAATTGGTGATGCAGGGAATGAATGATAAGGTCTCCCTAGATGAGTCGTCTATGAATAACGAGGTCTCTTTGGATAAGCTATTGCATAAACAACTATAAATGACGCATTGACATAATTATTCTTAATGAATGTTTTATTTCATATCTTGCTTTCTCTTTGACATTATACAGCGGCATATTTGTTTATACCTATTACAAGCTATATATATTCGACATTATAGATTGTAATCTTTGACTTGTGGTTTCGGTTGCATTGTATAAAGATTGTTTTCCTTTGATAGTCATTGTATCACTATAATATACCAAGATGATGATTGTGTATCTCAATGGTGTCGATGGCAACGAAGACGGGCTTGGTGATGTGGGAAACCCATGAAAACACCATATTACACGGTGGCGGAGCATGATGGGAGATCACAAGCAGATCATGGTAGTGTCAGTAACAATGTAGGATGGCTTAGTGACGTGGGAAATCACCTGTAAAAGTAGGTTGCACGATTTAGAGAGGGAACATGCAAAACATTTGTTAATGTGAAATCACCTAAAAATATAATAATATTATTTGAAACGGAACTATACAGTATCATACCATGCTTAAATCGTGCTAAAAAATTAAACATCCATAACTCAAATAATATTAAAGCAAAAACATAATTTTGCATAAGATGCACAACTTTGTTAAAAATGCAATGATTTTGAATTTAAAAAGAGCATACAAATAGATTATAAAATATAACAAGTCCAAATTTCAAAAATAATGATTTTTTTCATTTCATACATCGTACTATTAATAACTCCAAAAAATAGTGATCATAGCAGCAATAAATATATTAACAATAATAATAATAATGAAAGAACAAAAAAAAATAAAACAAAACGAAATACTCCATATATGGTAAAATTAGGTAGACAGATAACTGAAATAAGTATTTGACATACTCCATATCTAGTTTTTAACGATTCAGTTTGTGATAATCATTTTTAGATTTTTATATCACGATCTCGCCCCATTTGATTTTGGTTTGAGATGAAAAAATCAATCACGTTTAAAATTACCAAAAATGATTTGGCACCATTACGGCCCAATATGATACCATCTTTAGTTCTGTTTCTTACTCACCCTTACCCAATACCATGAGTCCAAAGAAATTGTGCCAACGTGCATCAATCTTTCACGTCATGACCAGGAACTGCAAAAAAATATCATGAGTTAGACTACTTGAACGCATGATGATTACTACTACCCAATTAGCTACCAGGTGAGTCACCACCTTGGTGGTTGCTAGAGTACTATCCAGAAGTGCCATCACGTATACCAAGACTGAATCGATAAGATCCTTCATGTTGTAGAGTAAAATTTGTAGTGGCTACCACTGTAGCATTGCCCTCGTTTGAAGTTTGTAGTTTGATCTAAAAAAACATTCAAGATATCCCAAAATTCAGTGAACGGTATTAGAAGTGGCATGCAAACACAAAGGCAATGGAATCATATACTGAGCCAGCTTTGTTCAACACGTGAACAACAAGGTCTTCCTTAAAGACATGACTTTTAATAAGGGCAAGCTCGTTGGAAATGTTGTGCATATCTTTAAAATACTTAGTAACCGAATGATTACCATACAAATTTATACTTAGTTTGGACTTGAAATAAACAATCCATCCACAACTAGCACTTACAAACATAGAGTGTGGAGTTTGCCAAGCCATATGAGTCGTCTCAACATTTGAAATCATATGTTTAGCTTGATCGAAACAACTGCCCAGGAGTAACACTATATACAATCAAATATAACTAAATAAGGAAGTTATGCGTCACATGGAGATAAATCATTTGTAATAAATGTAACTCTTGAATACTCGTCATTGGATATTGTTTTACATCATGAATGCACTTTAAGAATTAATAACACATTCATTTGTTCTTTACTAGCATTTTCACCCGTGCGATGCACGGGGTCGACGAAATTTTTGTCGATTCTGAATTTTTTTTAATGCAATATATTTTCTGGATCAAGTAAATATTTTTCTAACACGATTTTTTATCATTGGAAAAAAACACCAAGGTAGAATAAATAATATTTTAGAAATTGAAAATATACTCAAAAATGTCTTTTTTAATTCCAAACTTGTTGGCATGAAGAATAAGAAATTAAGTACTACTTTTCACCTCATGGAATAAAGGATAAGACAAATTCATTTAACATTCAACAACCTCGAGCACGGGTGCCAATAGTCCACTACTACTATCTTAAAAAAAGAATATAATAATTTTTTATGTTCTCCAATAAGTTCGGATAAGTGAAGTTCACTATATTCTTGAGGAATAACTTATGTTAAAAATCAAGATCTTTAACTATTACAGCACCAACTTCATGTATTGTGGAGATATTATAATTTTTGAGTCTCTAGTTTTACTTGTCAACAACCTCAATGATACATTAGAAGTAGGCTCATTATATATGAAGTATTACTTCTCAACAGCCTCAATGATACATTAGAAGTAGGCTCATTATGGTACTTCAGAAATCAAGAAGATTTATAGACACAATTTTGTAATACGAGTAGGTGGTATAAAAAGTTTAGAAACTGGTTTGAATTATCAGTAGTCAAAGAATTATTCTCCCTACTGTGCGAAACAAATAGAACAATTTGTTTTTATTAGCATGTTAATAATGTTTCATGTGTATTATATTGTCAAACAATGTAAATAATGCTTTTATTAAAATGGTGTACTCAATAAAGTATTCGAGATACCTAAAAAGAGTTATTTGTTTTCATATCTCGTTATGTATACCATAAATATACAATTGTGTAAATTTTGATCTTTCACCATATTGTGACATTAAATATGGTATGTGATGATGAATGTGTCCGCTGAGAGTACATTATTGCTCAACCATTATTGTGAGATGCATCAATATTTCCATTTATAAATGTTAATGAAAACATACAGTTGTATTTATTTAAATTTTTCATGGTAATGAGAACTCTTCACACCAAGACCATAAAATAAATTGTAGAGCAAATCAGATGGTTTTCCTTAGAAAAGACAATTAAACTTTTTCTTTTATGCAATAAATTGAAAACTTTAGATGTTTTGAATCTTTATTCATTTGATTCTTTCTTCATAGTTCATGTCATAACAAAGTTTCCCGAAAGCATTCCACACAACTTACATGTTGCATATATAATCTAAACATATTTTTATTTCTCTAAATGCAGGATCATCTAAAATTGATTCCACTAATGTATCTTAAACATATGAACCTTCTACCTCGACATTTAAATTTAAAATATATCGAGTGTGTCCACCATATCTAT